AGTAAAGTCATTATAAGATTGTCTGTTTAATAGTAAAGTCATTATAAGATTGTCTGTTTAATAGTAAAGTCATTTTACGATTGTCTTTTTAATAGTAAAGTCATTATAAGATTGTCTGTTTAATAGTAAAGTCATTATAAGATTGTCTGTTTAATAGTAAAGCCATTATAAGATTGTCTGTTTAATATTAAAGTCATTTTAAGATTGTCTGTTTAATAGTAAAGTCATTTTAAGATTGTCTGTTTAATATTAAAGTCATTATAAGATTGTCTGCTTAATAGTAAAGTCATTATAAGATTGTTAAATATTAAAGTCATTTTAAGATTGTCTGATTAATAGTAAAGTCATTATAAGATTGTCTGTTTAATATTAAAGTCATTTTAAGATTGTCTGTTTAATAGTAAAGTCATTATAAGATTGTCTGATTAATAGTAAAGTCATTATAAGATTGTCTGTTTAATAGTAAAGTCATTATAAGATTGTCTGTTTAATGGTAAAGTCATTATAAGATTGTCTGTTTAATAGTAAAGTTATTTTAAGATTGTCTTTAATATTAAAGTCATTTTAAGATTGTCTGTTTAATAGTAAAGTCATTTTAAGATTGTCTGATTAATAGTAAAGTCTTTATAAGATTGTCTGTTTAATATTAAAGTCATTTTAAGATTGTCTGTTTAATAGTAAAGTCATTATAAGATTGTCTGTTTAATATTAAAGTCATTTTAAGATTGTCTGTTTAATAGTAAAGTCATTATAAGATTGTCTGTTTAATAGTAAAGTCATTATAAGATTGTTAAATATTAAAGTCATTTTAAGATTGTCTGATTAATAGTAAAGTCATTATAAGATTGTCTGTTTAATATTAAAGTCATTTTAAGATTGTCTGTTTAATGGTAAAGTCATTATAAGATTGTCTGTTTAATAGTAAAGTCATTATAAGATTGTCTGTTTAATATTAAAGTCATTATAAGATTGTCTGTTTAATAGTAAAGCCATTATAAGATTGTTTAATATTAAAGTCATTTTAAGATTGTCTGTTTAATAGTAAAGTCATTATAAGATTGTCTGTTTAATAGTAAAGTCATTTTACGATTGTCTTTTTAATAGTAAAGTCATTATAAGATTGTCTGTTTAATAGTAAAGTCATTTTACGATTGTCTTTTTAATAGTAAAGTCATTTTACGATTGTCTTTTTAATAGTAAAGTCATTATAAGATTGTCTGTTTAATAGTAAAGTCATTATAAGATTGTCTGTTTAATAGTAAAGCCATTATAAGATTGTCTGTTTAATATTAAAGTCATTTTAAGATTGTCTGTTTAATAGTAAAGTCATTTTAAGATTGTCTGTTTAATATTAAAGTCATTATAAGATTGTCTGCTTAATAGTAAAGTCATTATAAGATTGTTAAATATTAAAGTCATTTTAAGATTGTCTGATTAATAGTAAAGTCATTATAAGATTGTTTAATATTAACGTCATTTTAAGATTGTCTGTTTAATAGTAAAGTCATTATAAGATTGTTTAATATTAACGTCATTTTAAGATTGTCTGTTTAATAGTATATTCATTATAAGATTGTTTAATAGTAAAGTCATTATAAGATTGTCTGTTTAATAGTAAAGTCATTTTAAGATTGTCTGTTTAATAGTAAAGTCATTTTAAGATTGTCTGTTTAATGGTAAAGTCATTATAAGATTGTCTGTTTAATATTAACGTCATTTTAAGATTGTCTGTTTAATAGTAAAGTCATTATAAGATTGTTTAATATTAAAGTCATTTTAAGATTGTCTGCTTAATAGTATATTCATTATAAGATTGTTTAATAGTAAAGTCATTATAAGATTGTCTGTTTAATGGTAAAGTCATTATAAGATTGTCTGTTTAATATTAACGTCATTTTAAGATTGTCTGTTTAATAGTAAAGTCATTTAAGATTGTCTGTTTAATAGTAAAGTCATTTTAAGATTGTCTGTTTAATAGTAAAGTTATTATAAGATTGTCTGTTTAATATTAAAGTCATTATAAGATTGTCTGTTTAATAGTAAAGTCATTATAAGATTGTCTGTTTAATATTAACGTCATTTTAAGATTGTCTGTTTAATAGTAAAGTCATTATAAGATTGTTTAATATTAAAGTCATTTTAAGATTGTCTGCTTAATAGTATATTCATTATAAGATTGTTTAATAGTAAAGTCATTATAAGATTGTCTGTTTAATGGTAAAGTCATTATAAGATTGTCTGTTTAATATTAACGTCATTTTAAGATTGTCTGTTTAATAGTAAAGTCATTTTAAGATTGTCTGTTTAATAGTAAAGTCATTTTAAGATTGTCTGTTTAATAGTAAAGTTATTATAAGATTGTCTGTTTAATATTAAAGTCATTATAAGATTGTCTGTTTAATAGTAAAGTCATTTTAAGATTGTCTGTTTAATAGTAAAGTTATTATAAGATTGTCTGTTTAATATTAAAGTCATTATAAGATTGTCTGTTTAATAGTAAAGTTATTTTAAGATTGTCTGTTTAATAGTAAAGTCATTTTAAGATTGTCTGTTTAATGGTAAAGTCATTATAAGATTGTCTGTTTAATATTAACGTCATTTTAAGATTGTCTGTTTAATAGTAAAGTCATTTTAAGATTGTCTGTTTAATAGTAAAGTCATTTTAAGATTGTCTGTTTAATAGTAAAGTCATTATAAGATTGTCTGTTTAATATTAAAGTCATTATAAGATTGTCTGTTTAATAGTAAAGTCATTTTAAGATTGTCTGTTTAATGTTAGTCATTTTAAGATTATCTGTTTAATAGTAAAGTCATTATAAGATTGTCTGTTTAATAGTAAAGTCATTATAAGATTGTCTGTTTAATAGTAAAGTCATTTTAAGATTGTCTGTTTAATATTAAAGTCATTATAAGATTGTTTAATATTAAAGTCATTTTAAGATTATCTGTTTAATAGTAAAGTCATTATAAGATTGTCTGTTTAATGTTAGTCATTTTAAGATTATCTGTTTAATAGTAAAGTCATTATAAGATTGTCTGTTTAATAGTAAAGTCATTTTAAGATTGTCTGTTTAATATTAAAGTCATTATAAGATTGTCTGTTTAATAGTAAAGTCATTTTAAGATTGTCTGTTTAATGTTAGTCATTTTAAGATTATCTGTTTAATAGTAAAGTCATTATAAGATTATCTGTTTAATAGTAAAGTCATTTTAAGATTGTCTGTTTAATAGTAAAGTCATTTTAAGATTGTCTGTTTAATAGTAAAGTCATTTTAAGATTGTCTGCTTAATATTAAAGTCATTATAAGATTGTTTAATATTAAAGTCATTTTAAGATTGTCTGCTTAATAGTATATTCATTATAAGATTGTTTAATAGTAAAGTCATTATAAGATTGTCTGTTTAATGGTAAAGTCATTATAAGATTGTCTGTTTAATATTAACGTCATTTTAAGATTGTCTGTTTAATAGTAAAGTCATTTTAAGATTGTCTGTTTAATGGTAAAGTCATTATAAGATTGTCTGTTTAATATTAACGTCATTTTAAGATTGTCTGTTTAATATTAACGTCATTTTAAGATTGTCTGTTTAATAGTAAAGTCATTATAAGATTGTCTGTTTAATAGTAAAGTCATTTTAAGATTGTCTGTTTAATATTAAAGTCATTATAAGATTGTCTGTTTAATAGTAAAGTCATTTTAAGATTGTCTGTTTAATATTAAAGTCATTATAAGATTGTCTGTTTAATAGTAAAGTCATTTTAAGATTGTCTGTTTAATGTTAGTCATTTTAAGATTATCTGTTTAATAGTAAAGTCATTATAAGATTGTCTGTTTAATAGTAAAGTCATTTTAAGATTGTCTGTTTAATAGTAAAGTCATTTTAAGATTGTCTGCTTAATATTAAAGTCATTATAAGATTGTCTGTTTAATATTAAAGTCATTATAAGATTGTCTGTTTAATGGTAAAGTCATTATAAGATTGTCTGTTTAATATTAACGTCATTTTAAGATTGTCTTTTTAATAGTAAAGTCATTTAAAATTGTCTGCTTAATAGTAAAGTCATTTTAAGATTGTCTGTCTAATAGTAAAGTCATTATAAGATTGTCTGTTTAATATTAAAGTCATTTTAAGATTGTCTGCTTAATAGTAAAGTCATTTTAAGATTGTCTGTTTAATAGTAAAGTCATTATAAGATTGTCTGTTTAATATTAAAGTCATTATAAGATTGTCTGTTTAATAGTAAAGTCATTTTAAGATTGTCTGCTTAATAGTAAAGTCATTTTAAGATTGTCTGTTTAATAGTAAAGTCATTATAAGATTGTCTGTTTAATAGTAAAGTCATTTTAAGATTGTCTGTTTAATAGTAAAGTCATTTTAAGATTGTCTGTTTAATGGTAAAATCATTTTAAGATTGTCTGTTTAATAGTAAAGTCATTTTAAGATTGTCTGTTTAATGGTAAAATCATTTTAACCTGTTCTGTTTACGCTTAAAATGAAGTAATTTTAAAATTATTTAGTTAAGTCACTTCAGCTTGTTTAGTATTTAGATAATATTAAGCTTTTCTGTTTAGTAGTTAAGTCATATTTAGTCACTATTATGTTGATACTAGGAATTGGATGAAGGTTATCACTGGCATATTGACTAACACAAAATTAGTCCATTCAGCATATTAATTAATATCTGTGTACAAAGTCATTTCTGGTACCTCATATGTTTATGTATAGACTTATTCCATTCAGTAGGATAAACTTCTCTAATAAATGAAAAATTGTCTGAAATGCTTATTTTAAGTATGAAGCTAATGTTGGCATATTGATACTGGATGTGTAAATGGTTCCAGCAGCACGTTGACTTACATCATTCAGTATTGGTGAACATGGCTAATACATAATAACTAATATTATGTATTAACACCCCAATAGATAGTAATTTATTGCATTTTATAGACATTTGAATGAAGATTTATCCAAAGTCACAAATAAGAAAAAGAAGAAAATTGAGATGTTTACAAAATTTTATTCCAAATACTAACAGCATTTGTAGAGCCAAACAGGACAGTATTTTGTTCTTGTAAATGTTTTAACCTTCACACAGCCAACAAGCATTTAATCCCTCTGGGGTAACGTGCAAGAGCATTGCATGAACTTTGGTCATATTTCACAAGAAAAGATCCACCAATAAACGGATCGCAGTCCCACTAATCAGGACTTTCGGCATTAAACAAAAAACAAGAAAAGCATCAAATGTAAACATCGGAACCAACATTTCAATTTCATTCGTTCTGGTTCTTTCAGTGACAATATTTCCAATAATTTCCATTAAAAATGAATCATGATGACAAAAAGCAGCTAAATTACAGTAGTTAGTAAGAAACATAATTAAAAAGGAGGATTCCTCTGTTACTTGGTGATTGTTCCGTTTGCTCCAATATTGATTTAAATACTCTTAATAACAAATTTATCCTGCTGAACAAAACTAAAAGATGTTTACTAAATCTACTGGAACCACAAACAGGTTGAGTCTAGAGGGTTTTAACATATTCAGAACATCTTGTGCATTTTGTCGTCTTATTCCTATTTCTCTCATTCGGTTTAGTTACCAGCTTAAAAAAATGAAAGTGCATCGACATGATTTTGGTAGAAATGCATCAAACCGTGATTATAAAATTCACAGAAATAAAAAGGAAATGGATGTTTGTTAGATTTTTTTGGGGTTCAGCAGTTGAAATAAAGTCATTTAAACATTTTTCTTAATGATTTGGCTCAGTTTATAACTAGTTATGACCCAAACGGATCTACAGGTAAACGGCAGCGGGCGGCTTGTTTAAGGCACCGCAGGTCAACACTGAGGTCGATTTATGCACCACAACTGTCCATCACTCCATAATTGCAGATTTACCATCTTAAAATGGTTGTTTTTTTCTATTCATTAAACCATGATCAGAGTATGGAAGACTCATCCTGCCAAAATTGGCACTAAAGACATAAATAAATAAATGGCTTGATAATGTGTCAAATATCGCATTAAAAAAATATAAATAACTTTCCCAACTTATTTTTTATAGTCATAAAATATTTTTATATTTATAATGTTGCATTGTGTAATCAGATAAGTTGGGAAAGTTTTCATTTGCATTTAAAAAATTTTTTTGGGTTGTAATATTTGGTGTAATTACTTTACAAACTCATACTTTTTCTCCAAAGGTTTTGGCTAATTTTGGCAGGATCAGTCCTCCATATGAAAAGATCTAAAACCACAAATCAACAAAGAATTTTAAAAAGCAACACAAGAATATTACAGTATTATAAAAACAGTCAAGTAGTTTTAAAAAGCATCACGATTCACATTCTGCAAATCAGCCCCGAAACATTTCATCAACCATAAAGTTTCTCATCCGTCTTAAAAACTGTTAAACTGATGCATTCATACAGATTTCCTGAGGAGAACAGCTGCCTATCAGAGGAAGCTGAATTAAATGATTAATTGCACAAAATATTGAGATTATTTAGTTAAAATTTGGAGCACTGAGTGGATGGCAGTGTAGAAAAGCAACAGACTTATTGTAAAGATAATAACTGTTAGTGATTCACATTCACCCAATGTTCACGACGTAGTTCTGCGTTCCCATACGGGAAACAGAACCGTGACGCAGCTCCGGTTCTACCGGAGCTGCTGCAGGTCCGGGGAGTTGGGCGAGGACAGCGCGGTGCTGGTGGCCGAGGCGCTGATGGGGGGAAGCTCATCGCAGGCGAAGTACTCCTTCAGCGGGGCGAAGAGGTGACGGATGACCGGCACGCTCCATGCCTTGCCCAACAGCTTCTGCCGCTGCTGCCGGTTCATGTTCCTCGCGTCGGTGTAATGTTTGGGGAAACCAAAGATCCTGCAAAGAGGGGGAAAAATCATGCTTTAGTTCATGTAAAGGTGGCATCTGTTTCTAACCAACGTTGGAGAATATTGATTTAATCCTACATGACACAGTGTGAGATGAAAACAAAAACTACGACAAAATAAATCTGAAGAACAAAAAGAATGTAAAGAAGTAACATGACGAAAATATGAAAGCAACGAATACAGAAAAGATCAAAAACAAACAATTCGAAGAAGAAGTGTGGAGCCTTTGCATGTTATTGTTTACGTCTTTAAATTCTGCACATGTGCAGAACGCTGGAAGGCGAAACGATGGTTGCTTCACACGGTGTTTAGGTTGCATTTTTTTAACTGAACTGAAACACATTGGATTCCACAGCACATCTACATGTTATGGTTGTCATAGTCATGCTAGCATAACAGAACTACCTTCCTCTCTCTATTTTTTCCTTACATTTTTTCCTGACCTGGTTATCTAGTTGTTGTTGTGTTGACAGTTAGTAGCAAAGCACTGCATCTGATTTATTTACATATTGCGCTGAATTTAGCGTGATATATTGATAACAGCTAAAACCAATGCTAGTCATCATTAGCCAGCAGCTTTTTGTCCTACGGCAGGTAAATGGGGCTTTTGATGTACTTTTCCAGTTCGGTGATCCAGAGGATGTCATCTTTCCCGTTCTGCACGACCGGCAGCAAAGACACGTCCTTCCCCTGCTTCAGGGAGTTTGGATTTGTTGTGATCGTTCTCACTTTGGTTACCTGGAAATAAAATCCCCAACAACAGTCGTGAGTTTATTCTGCCGGAAATGGAAGCAGAACAAATGTGTTTTTTCTCACCCTGGCTTCTCTGCCGAGCTCCAGACAGTCCTGCAGGTTCAACTTGTCGTTCTGGGAGGCGATGATGGGCCTGACGAGTTTCGGATCAGTCACGGCTTTAAGTATCTTATTCTTTTTTTTTAAATGTATTTTTTCCCAGTACATAATCTCCAGTTAATGATTAATCGATTACTAAATTAGTTAATAATTATTTCAATAATCAAATAATTGTTTTATCCCTTGGTTACTTTATAATATTTAATGGAAATAATTATTCTTCTAGATTACCAGTTGAGTGATTTAGTAGTTTTGACTTTACAAAATTAGCTGGAAGTGTTTACAAACCAAATGTTAATAAAAAAATATACTTTTGCCCCTCCCAAATTTTGGGGTATAAAATACCAAAAAACAATAAAATATATTTTCTGCAGAAAATATATTATACAGATATTTTATTTAAAAAAATAAAAATATTATAAAATGTATTACAAAAATATTTTTTGTAAGAAATGTTTTTGTAAAAAAGAAAAAAAAAAACATATATAGTTATTTTTAACAAGCTTGAAATGTTTCAGAGCCGAAATCAAAAGATTCCCATTTAAACTTAAACTGTTTGTGTATAAAAACCTGGCCAGGTGAGCCAGGTTTTTACCTGTCCTGTCCTCTGGGACAGGTGGTTTTATAGCTTTTCTGGCAGTTTTAATAAACAGAGCCGTTGTTCTCTCACCTGCTCATCCCAGGAATGTTTCCCCAGAAGTATCGGGCTCTGTGCGCAGGGCTCACCTTGACCGCGTCCACCAGAACCGGCTTGCACTGCAAAAACACAGAACCATCAGCTCCTCAATCACTTCAGGCTCAGGCTTCAGGCTCAGGCTTCAGGGTCAGGCGCCAGCAGGCGTGAAGCAAACCTCCAGGAAGCGGCAGATGTTGACTTTGTCGTGCGTATTCATGAAAACGACGTTCTCGAAGAGCCAGAAGAACGGCCGCTCGTCGTCCTCTCTGGGCTTCAGCATCTGCAGGATGCGGTAAAACTCGAAGAAGTCGGCCGGTTCCCTCTGAGAGGAGAACACATAAAACAGGCAGTCAGATTAACCAGGTCAAAGGTTTTCTGCTCCACAAACATCAAAACTTCTGGTTTTGATTTTTATGATTTTATAAAGTCAAATTTAAACATTATCTACTAAGAATAATTCTGTTATTTTCATTAACTATTATAGAAACAACGGGCTAAGTCAATTAATCGTAATTAATTGATTATTGCAATAATTGTCAACCAATGTAGTAACAGATTCATAGTTTTGAATTTAGGACTCAAACTAGTAGTAATTATTTTTTCAAACAAAAAAATATATTTTATTTTAAATAAACAAAAAATATTTATTTTTGTACAACATGCAAAAGTATATTTTTAACATAAATAAATATTTATGTAAAGAAAGTAATGTATTTTATATAAAATGGATGTATTTTTGTACCGTAGAGGCCTTTCCTCAGCGGGTTGACGATGGACAGATCGTTGCAGGGGCTTCCACCAATCAGCAGGTCGAACGGCCCCCACTTCTCCAGCTGAATTTCAAAATAAAATTCATTTAAATGAGTCGCTTTTCAATGAACCAGAAAATGTTGGACATTTTTTAAATTTATTCTTCAGAAAAGGGAAAGTAAAGCAGCGGATTTAACCCACCAGCTCGTGGGAGACGAATCGGACGTCTCCAACGTGGATGATCTTTCCGTCGTGGTTGATGGTTGCCACGGCAACCGAGTCTTCGCAGATCTCGGAGGCGACATATCTCTCCACCTTGAGGCCGAGATCCTTCAGCACCAAATAGCCTGAGAAAAACAACGTGAAGATAAAAATGTTCATTTGATTTGGTTCAATTCACTGGAACAAAAACCCATTTGGATTTTAGTTTAATGTTCCCTAAAGTACAAAGATTACACCAGAAAAGTGAAATTCAGTTTCAGTTCACGTCCAGTTTCTGTTCTGCAAAGTCTAACCTTCGGGTGTGGAGCAGAGATGGTGGAAAAATTAATAAAACGAACAAAAAACAACAACAATCCTGCCGCAGGAAGGACAGAGCACAGATGATATTAAAATTTGATAAACACAAAGAGCAAAAACCATGAATGTGAACAAGAATACAGAAACCACAGAAGATTAAAAATAGCAGATATACGAGGAACAAAACAAATAGAAAACTACAAATTTAAAGAATATGAAGAATTCAAATAGAAAATGAGAACGAATCAGAAAACGAAACAAATAAAGTTATACATCAAACACTTTGAAAACCAGGAATGTGAAAAACACAAATAAATATATGGAAACAAAGAACAATATGAAGAAACAAAAGGAAGAAGCATTTAAAACCAAAAACCACAAAACTGAAGAAAACGAACACAAAGGACACAGACGGTAAAAATATGACAAAAATATAAAAAATGCCAAGAACACAAAATATAAGAAATTAGAGAAATGGTGCTGAAGCGATCAGAACCGTCTGGTCTGCCGGTCCGGAGGCTCACCTGTTCCGATCCCGTCGAACAGCGACAGAACCCGCAGAGGTCGGCGCATCTTGATGGGGACAGACGGGTAGACCCGATGAGGCTCCTGCATCAGCAACACACAGCTAATATCCATGAACTTTATTTAATCTGAGGAGTTTGAGTTCACATCCTCATCCCACCAAGATCGGGTCGCACATCAAAACACATCAAAACAGAACAAAAAACTTCAAGCTGCACAGAATCCAAAGAAACGTTCCCTCTTTAAGAGCCAAACTGAAAAGTTGCAGACGTCTTTTGGCTTGACGTCTGTAACAGAAAGTAAAACATTTATAGGACAACTGACATACTTTATTAACCCAAAGTAACCAGGTAACCAACAGTTCACCTGTTAAAAAAATATTTTATATGTGAAATTTGACTGACTTTTTACCAGCGTCGCTCTGAGCAGCAGCTCCGATGATGAGCTCAGGTGTTTGCTAATAGCTGCTGGCTAGTCTGAAGGAGCTGGGAGGAGCGGCGCCTCGGAGGTGGGGCTAAGTCCACCCAGGCGTTTTGCAGCAACACTCCAGGTATAACATAATATAAAGCCCCATCTTCAGCAGGAGGACCACTAGAGGGCGCTGTCACACTTTCACCATCAGCTGAACACTCACAAACTCCATGGCGCTGTTGTTGGCAAACATCTCCTGGACGCGAAACCTCCAGTCCTCCCGGGGGACCAGCGCGCCGTGCTGCTGGTGAGGCTGGCACAGGTAACAGATCCACGGGTCCACGACCTTCAGAGAGTCAAACGTCTTTGGACCAACCAGGATGTTCAGACAGTCCTCGCAGAAAGACCTGCAGACCAAACGGGCCGAGACTAAACTGCCTGCTCTGCACGGGCTGCCTGGATGACGGAGACCAACCTGTGACAGCCGTCGTGTCCGCAGAGAATGACCTCCATGCCGTAGCAGCAGATGGTGCAGTAGGACTGGTATCCGTCTTCGTCGTAGCGATACAGCGTCTCCATGAAGTTATCCTTCAGAGGCAGAGAGTTTTAAATCAAAGCTTTAATTTGGACTGCTGCATGAACACCAAATGAAAACTCATCAACGAATCAAGAAGCTTTTGACCCTTTTTGTTTTTTAAATATTCCCAGTTTGCAGAGGCAGACATGTTGATGAACTGTTCCAGAAGTTACTGCGATAAACGATAATATTGTCGTTTTGAGACATTTTTCTACTCATATAAAGGCAGAGGCACAATAATGCCGGACTTCTATCGGGGCATTATTACCTTTGAGCAGCAAAAATGTTATTTGTGCTGCTTTTGCCCTGATATTAATGAAATTTTAAAAGGTCAAAAAGTCAATCTCATTATCCAAATATTGGTGTGAAATATTTTTGTTTTTGCTGCCATCATTAAAAAAAAACCTGATAAGTTTGATGTCAATCAACTCGACTACGTTTGTGCAGCAAAAATGTTTGTTTGTGCTGCTTTGAAGATATTAATAAAAGTTAAAAAAGTCAACCACATTATCCAAATGTAACAACAAAGGTGTGAAATGTTTGTGCAGCAAAAAGGTTTTTTTGCTTTGAAGATATTGACGATGACCTGTGGAAACTTTTTTATTAACATCTTTAAAGTGACAGCAGCACAAAAACCCCTGTTAGACACCAGTTTTGTTTGGGCGCCATCTTTACTCAGTTAGTTTGTAAAAAAAAATTTTTGTGCCACTGGTTTAAAATATTTTTCGCTGCAGCAGGAACTTACTTTGCACTTCAAGCAGAGGCTTCCTTTGAAGAGCGGGTGGGAAATCTGGATTTCTTTGGTTCCGCAGCACAAACAGAAATCTGCAGGTCAAACGGCAGGAAGACGTGAGACTAGACTCACAGAACGACAGATAAACTCTCACTGCGAGCACCGACCTTCGATATCGAGGTTTAAGTCCAGGATCTGATTGATGGTCTTCTCTGTGAAGAGATCATTTGATCAATAATGGGAAACAACCACTCTTCATCTGTTTTGTTTATGAAACAGGAGAAAGAAAAACTCTTTGGATGTTTGCTCTGCGCACCATCTGGGCTAATGTTAGCTTAGCAAAGTCCTCCTTCGCTTCAGGAGAAGAAGACGCGTGTTTACTGAGCTTCCTGCCACAAAAACGCTTAAAATAAGTTTCAATATACTGCATTTATCTATTGAAGTTTTGTTAATTAAAGCTATGATTAGAAATGGTTTCTGCAAGGAACTGTGGATAATTAAAAACAGAATTTGGTGGAAAAAATGTAAGTTTAATTTGTAAAAACTAACTGAAAACAGGCAGTGATGTTTTAACTTCTGATTTCACTGGGAATATTAAAACGCTGGTGGAATGTTATTTTGCTATAATATTATTTTAGCCTATAGAGGTTGACAATCACATTTATTTGTCAATATTGCTTGCAATACTGTTTTCAATTACAGTGCAATAAATTACATGCCCTGCAATGAACTCCATTCATTTTACTGTTATGCAGTTCTTTCGTTTTAAAGGTGACCTGTTGTTTCTTTGGTTAGGATAGTCCTATAGTTTTAGGGCCTCTGTCACTTTAAATCCAAATGAGCTGCTGCTTTCACCTAGCAACGCCAGCGGAACCCTGCCCGTTACCTAGCAACGCCAGCGGAACCGTTACCTAGCAACGCCAGCGGAACCGTTACCTAGCAACGCCAGCGGAACCGTTACCTAGCAACGCCAGCGGAACTCTGCCGTTACCTAGCAACGCCAGCGGAACTCTGCCCGTTACCTAGCAACGCCAGCGGAACTCTGCCCGTTACCTAGCAACCTGAGCTGAGTTCCAGCATGTTTGCTCAGCTGGTTTTTCCACTGTATGTTCTGTACAATGGCTGCTGGAAAAGACTGGTGGTTAGCTGTTGACTTACCACCCAGAAACTACTTGCTGCATTCTTGCTGATTGTGCAGGAGGCTTCATTCTGCTTTTCTAAGATGTACGGTTATACGTTTCCTCATCCATTTTCACGAACAAGTATACATGTTGAATTTGGGGGCGTGGTCAGCAGCTTATTAGGATTTAAAGTGACAGAGACTCTAAAAGAATCTCAAATTCAGACTTAAATCTCGGTATCTAAGAATGATTTTGTGCACAAAATGTAATGAATGTGTTTTGTATAGGCCATAGAACCTGATCGAGGAAGAATAATAGATCAGCTTTAAGCTCTGAGGACGTTTTTAGAATCACTTCCACTTGGACGTAAACTTCCTTCATTGAGTCAAATAACTACCAACAATCCCATCGATCTACCATGGAGCGACTGTCAGTCGATACCTCTGAGTTTCTGGTCCGGCTGCGTGTACACGCCGCTGGTCACGTTGACCTTATTGTATGTTTTGGTGTAGCTCCTCTTCCTCTGTGGCACAAGTCCGGCGACATGTCGTTATCCTCTCCAGACAGCCAGCTGTAGCTCTTCTTCAGGCTCCGTCCTCTGACTTTCTGTTTCTGCCATTTGCTTTTCACCTGGTCCCACTCGGTGTCCCACTTGTCCTTCTCCATCTGGGATCTTTCCTTTCCCTGCTTCCCGCCGTAGGGTCGGAGGTTTGGACCTTTTTCCAGCAGAACCCGGTCCGGTTTCTCCGTTGGTTCCGTTGGTTTTGGAGCTGGATGGCGAATCTCCGGAAGCGCAGGACAGTCTGTTGAGCAAGTTGGCTACGTGTTTCATCTCGATGCCGACTTTGTTCTCCGTCGGGGTGGAGGAGGCAGGAGTTGGGTTGGACTTCTCAAAAAGCTTCTTCTTCACCTTTGGCCTGGTGTATGTTTTAACAACACCTGGAAAACACACACAGACACAGCTTCTGGATCAGCTGCAGCTGATTTGTAGGACAGACCTGTGAAGACGCTGCTGCAGGAATCAATGCGCCCTAGATAAACTCAACCAGCCGTTTATCTGGATGAGCTTCTGGTTCTGGTTCTGCTGGACTTTTCTTGTTGAAAGGAAGTTTTTCCTTTCTACCGTTGCCACATGCATGCTTACTGATTCAATTCGATTTGCTTTTAAATGATCTTGAATATCAAACTGAGCTTAATGACATGCTTGAGTCGATTTGCATGATTTATTGTTTCTTTTTCTACTACAGACTGGATGATAAAAATCTTCAGTCTCAACCAGCTCTGTTTTGAAGTATAATTTTGTTAACAGAGACTTCATAATTCATTTGATTTGTTGTTTCTGTTTAGTTACTTAGGATATTTAAATGTTTTCCAGTTCCAGTGTTAAATATTCACGCGGCTGCACCTTGCTTAGGTTTGAGTCCGTCCGGACCGGTCGGCTGAAAGCCTCCGAACGCCCAGTCCAGAAACTGCTTCAGAACCTCTTCGCTGTCCTGGAGCAAAGGAGAAAACTTCTTCCCACAGCGCATCGCTGCCTCCTGCAGGACACAAACGGAAATGCTTCGACCACAAAATTTTATGTTTTGAAACGTCTCTCACACCCAGCAGCTGCCACTAGTCTGTAGAGTCGCCTAGAGCAGCTTAGGATACGGACCTGCAGCGACAAGAGGACGGCCTCTCTGTAGGTGACCAGGGTTGCAAAGGAGTTGGTGGAGAAATACTGGCCGAACGCAGCAAACGGCTTCAGAGACCTGACACTGACCTGCAATCGGAGACAACATGGCGGACGTTTTACCATCTGCAGAAAAATGGCCAGCCAGTAAGAACGAGGCGGAAAACAATGACCTGAGAGCACATTCTCTGGCCGTACCACTCCACCATCCTCTTCTGAGGAATGGACCTGGTCTTTGAACGGAATGATGACGCCGGGCCACGGGGCGAAACCTTCGATCTGACCCCAAACCAGCTCCCCTACAGACAAACACAGGAATTACAGCCATTTTACAGCACCATCAAGTGTCTATGCTACCTTCAGTTGTTATAAAAATATTTTATGTCAAACATGACGGAAAAGAAATGGGGTCTCTGTCTCTTTAAGAAGCTCCTGTTATTTCTGAGGCTTTGCCTTCAGAAAGTCATCCCAACATAGCTCCTATGTTAACCGTTTAAAAACGTTTTTAGCTCTGAGAAGTAGCTCCTATAACAACTTCTTGCAAATGGTGGTCCACAAAATTCATAAAATTAAAATGCAAAAATTAGTTAACCATCATTTACTGCTCAATGATAAACATTTTTTATTAAATTTGACTAATCTGTACATCATCTGCACCCCTGACATTCTGTAATGCTCCCCATGTTCATCAGAAATACACTTACAATGGATTTTTCTTCACAAGCTGGTAGTTTTTTTGTCGTATCCCAGATCAGATCCTCTTCATCGCTCGTCACGATGAAGATAAACTCTTCTTGATGAATTCCTTCACCTGCTAAGCAGCACTAAATGAGCATGACTTGCAGCAAAGCAGAAAGATGTAGAAAATATTCACGTTTATCGTCTTACTCGTCTTCGTCCGCTGGCCAGCCGGAGACTTCACGGCTCTTCTGTGATGTCAATCACATCTGACAAAACCCAGCCAGAGAGTAAGCTAATGTAGCTACAGCGGACCCAGCTAAAGTTCAGGTAAACCGGGGAGTCCTACCTGAGGAATTGTCTGTGTAGTCCATCTCATCCACACTCCTGTTATGTTTCATCTTCTGATATATTAAAGGCTTCGCTGCAGGACTCTTCTCGTCCTCTGATGAACTCTCATGTTTCACTGTGACTTTCTGGCAGCTGAAAGCCTCCACAGCAGCTAGTTTCTTCCTACCGACTGGCGATTGTCGTCCCCAAACCTCCATGTGTGGTGAGGCCACGGGAGTTTTCTCCCTGTAGGGAGGGATTTTCAGGTTCTTGTAGGCCTTCAGAGAGGAAAAAACACAACTCAGATTTTCACAGCAGTGACAAGAAAACCAGTGGTGGGCACTGCAAACTATAATGCTAGCCGCGCTAACCCTACAGTAACAATAAACATGAGTTAAGCATTGAACCAACACAGTAGCTAGCAGAAGCTAATGCTAAGGCGATGTACCAACAAAACCCATGTGATATACCAGCATGGTATTTAGTGAAAGCTAACACTAAATTACTATATTAGTACAGTATTTAGCATAAGCTAATGTTAAACGCTTTAGCATTAGAATTTAGGAGAAGCTAATGCTAAAGCGTAATACAAACAGTATTTTGTGGAAGATAATGCTGAAATGCTATATTAACATGGTATTTAGCAGAAGTTAAAGTTCTTTACAAACACAGGACCTGTATTAAACACTTCATCCTGCTCACTCGGGCCACCTCCAACCCATTCTTTAATTAAATGTGAATTCAATATGGCTTTTTGCAGCAGCCATGTTACAACTCACCTTAGCAAACACCTGTGTCTGGTGCAGAGAGCTGGGCAGCGCCAGCAGGGTCAGAAACAGCTTGTGCAGAGTGGGCCACGGTTTCATTTTGTTCAAGATCTGCACAGACAACAGCAGAGACTGCTGGTTTGATCTGAAACTTTTCACCAAAATATTCTGAATTTTCCATCTTTCTGAGGCGTCGTGGACAAACAACCCAAACATTCAGCATTTAATTTCCCAGCTTTGACCTCTTACCTTCACCCAGCTGCTGCATTCCCCACTGCTGCTCCATTCTTGGATGAGCTTCTTGAAATCGCAGCAGCTGCGTTGCAGCTTCACCTCTGGAGGCCCAGCGGCGCAGATCCCCAGCTGGACGGCCATCACTGACAACACCTCCCAGGGAAAATGCTTCTCCTGCAGGACAGAGAGAGAGCGTTCACCAGACAATCACAGCAAGATTTACCATGTTCAGGTTCCCCAAGACGGGCCACATGAAACACAAACAAAATAATAATTCCTGCAGTGCATGGTGATCTGCTGGTTGTTTAGCAAGTCTTTAATAGGAGAATTTAAAAAATTCGAACCAGATGAAGCTAAAACTTTGGCACCTGGGAGTTCTGGGTGGAAAAAATTGAAGTTTTTTTTTTTTCTTAAATGCAAAATCTATTTATATTGTGCAGTTTAATTACTGCTCTCAAATGTTATTTCAGCAAACTTAAAGTTTTAGTCTGTACACTCTGAATACTGGTAGACGATTGGTTCAATAATCGATTGATTGAGATTAATCAGTTCAGAAGTATTTCTAGGGTCCAGGAAGTAAAGGATGGTGGGATTCTTACTGTGATGCGTTCTGGATTTTTCAGTATCAGCCCGATGTTCCTGAGCGTCACGTCTCCGAGCGGGCCGGGAATGCTCTCCACCAGACTCTGAAGAGCGGCTCTGTAGAACGCCTGGGCGTCCTTCAGGAACTGGGCCAGGTTCTGCTCCCCCAGGCTCGGCCCGAAGGCCCACATGAAGTCTGACGCACGCGGCCCGATGTTGACCTGGGCCACGGGGAGCAGCTGGTCGCCGTGAAGCAGGTCCAGCTCCCGCTGCAGCAGGAAGACATGGACTTAGAAATTTAAATTATTTAAATTATTTTGTCACAAATGGTGATTAAATAGCTAAACATTACTTCTATTTTTAAAAAACTGCATGACAGAATTCAGCACCACAGACATAAAAACTTTCCTTTTAGTTTTTTGTTTTACATATTTGAAATGCAACCAAACTGCTGGGCTGACCTTTCCTCTTTTCACAGATCTGTCTACATGTTGTTTTTTTATTTTTAAGCATTTAAAGGGAGAAACTTTAAACTGGAAGTTACTCAGCAGGTTGTTGCTAGGCAACCAAAGAATGAGTGGGTTGATGCCTCGCTCTTTGCTGATTGGCTGATTCCCCAGAATGTTCTGGAGTTCAGTGATTTTCTGTCCGATGCATTATCTACTGATATGGTTCATGTGTCTATTTCCAATATATTGTTGATTTTTTTGTCCAGGCCTACTGACAGTTTTATCTGAAATGTTTTTATTATTTTCTCCACTATTTGTTTCACCAATAAATATCAGTAAGTTATTTAAAACTGAACTGATGATACCAACTTCTTCAGGTTTCATTTTAATGGAATCGATCTCCAGCAGCAGCAGGTAAAGAGTAAAATTTCCAGATATAAACAATAACATGCTATGTAAATATTGAATGGGATGTATTATGTATTGCTATTGATCATGTGCATTTCAATGTAAACTGTTGTTGACTTATTTTCCAGTCCTATAAGCGATACTGCAGGTGCCCACCCCTTGGAGGAAGCGGTCGACGGCGTGCGGCTGGAGGATGCTGGCAGTGTAGGACTGCATCAGGATGGCAGTGATCTGCAGCTCTTCGCTCAGCTCCGTGATCCTGGCCCGTTGCAGCTCGTTCAGCGCTCTGAGGGGCTCCAAGGCGTGGGACAGGAACAGGAACTGCATCCGGAGCGTGTCGTCCAGCAGACGGCTCTGGATCGACACTTCTGCCTCATTTAGCGATTTAAAATACTCCCGCAGGTCCTGCCACCGGGCGGCCATCTTCTGCACGGTGTGGGCCAGGAACAGAAACTGTGGGGCTTGCGGCCCGGTGTCGGCGAACACATCCTTCAGGCTGTCGTTGCTGGACGGGCAGATGGAATAGTGGCAGTGGACGTCTGTGATGAGGTCGACGGCGTGGCTGAAGGCGACAGTGAGTCCGGCCCGGCAGGCGCGCTCCGCGATCCCCGGGATGCTGCAGAGCGACACCATCTTGGGGCTGAACGCCTGCAGCCGTGACACAAACACCCGGCTCAAGCCCGGCTGCGGCGTGCTGCAGTAGAACGCCGCCAGGTTGGACAGCGGCAGCTCGTACTTCCGCAGCGCCTCCACCAGCAGCCAGGCGTCCGAGTCGGCGACGCGCGCCATGGCGTCCGTGTCCATCGGCTGGCGAGGGTCGGCGCTGTCGGTGCTCATCTGTAGAGTGTGCAGCAGCTTCACCACGCTTCGGCATGAACGCTCATCGAAGTATCCGATCAGCAGGACGCTGGCGCTGCGTCCCGCGCCCAGCTCCACACCGACATACAGGTAAACACAGTACGGCTGGTCGGTGACGGCTGCCATGATGTCCTCAGGCTCCGCTGAGTAAACTTCATCTTGGAAATAAGTTCTGATGAAGTTCACCAAATCGTTTGCGGAAATCTGCCTGTCCAGGCGCTGGATCTGCTTCTTCACCTGAGCCTCCTGCTTCAGATCGGGTTTCTGATCCGTCGACATGTAAATCAAGTCCTCGTCATCTTCTGACATCAAACAGATCACATCCAAACTCTGACGGTTTTTCACTGCTGCAAAATCCATATTTACAGGACGTTCAGTGATCCTGGGAGAAGCAGGCGGGACGAATGCGCACCTGGACCTAGAAAAAAAAGGAAGAGTTATTCTTAAAAATTATTTTCTGTGATGGAAAAACTTTCTTTCATAAATCATAACCAAAACCATCAGACTAGACTGACACAATTAATTGGATTGATTATCATTAATTATTAGGCCTTTTGCAAAAAGCAATAAATCAATGAATCAATTAATCACATAATAGATTTAAACAAGCTCATTAATTTCCATTTGGTTGTTTAGCATTTCTCTCTTTCTGACAAAAACTGGGAGATAAAACTCTTCAGTCTGGTATTTTGGTCTTAAACACCCCTTTTTTGCAGGACAATTTTGTTTCACAAAGACTTTAGAATTTATTTTGTTTGTCGTTTCTGTTCTTTTGTTTATTTATTTTGGATTTTTTAAATGTATTCCAGTTCCTGTGTTAAATGTTCAATAGGATGTAAAGTTTGTTCATCTTTGAGAAGGTGTTCAAGCATTATTAAGCAACTACTATATCACTGGAAAATTTGTTTCAAAACAACATTATTGTTTAATGATAATGTTTAATAACTTCTGGAACAATTTATCGTCCAGAGAAAATTTGCTATTGTGACTTGCCTTATTAGTTGTGATTAATCTATTGTTTAGATAATTGTCAACCAATTTAATAATTGATTAATTGTCAACTGGTGTAAAAAGCCCCCCAAAAAGACAGCGTTATCAAAAACGGCTATTTGTTTTATAAGAAAGAGCAAAATTAGAATGGATAAAAGTACTAAAATTCTGCCAGAAAAAAAATAAAAATAAAGAAAGAAATAATATCTTCTACCTAAAAAAATGACAAAAATTATAATTTCATTTATATTGAAAATAAGCATTTCTGCGAATTGCGAATTTTTTTAAATTTTGCTGCAAGGTCCATTTTATTCCGACTCCAGTCAGGGTCATTTAAACGCCTCTGACAGCCTACGCGTCTCCAATTGGTGGTGACGCGGTGACGTCATGACAGTTCCACCAATCGGGCTGAAGCGGGTAACTTTTCAGCCAATACAAACTATCCAAATAACTTTCCAAGACATGCTTTAAAAACATGGAACCGGGCAAGTTGGGGTGTTCGGGGTAAGAACAACCCAACCAAAGGAAACAATGAAGCCTGAGCTGAACTGTCGCTCACCAATCACACAAAAATGACAACATTGAACAACACAAACGTCATCAAATTACAACTGATTGTAACGCTGCAGTTACGAATAGCTAGTATTTAAATGGTCCGGAATATCAAGGCCGAAAATCAACATTTAAAGAGTTTAGAATGGTTAAACGTGAACCTAACGATGGTGAAAACACAACTGGCCCATTCACTAAAGAAATAACTGAAACCGACTTGTTTCAGTCTTTTACAAACAAGCCTCAAATTGTTTTGAAGAATACGTAAAAATACCAACCAGTCATAAAATACCAATTTTCGAATGTTTAAGAATAGGGTAAAAGTTTTAGGTTTGGACACAACGGAGAATAACTTTGACCAAGTTTGATCATCGTAAATATTTAATTTAAGGATCTCATCACAAGTAAAATAAATAAATAAATAAATAAATAAATAAATAGCGAATTAACCCTTTACTCCAATCGGATGCTAGCTTCTGCGTCGCTGGTTACGTACAAGTACGTTAAGTGAACCAAACCAAACAATGTAGCTACATTTCGATGAAACAGCGGCCCAAGTTGTCAAGCTGGATTGTTTGTCAATGTGTTTACATTTTATCTGGTATTCAATAGTTAAGATTTTAGTTGAACACGTGGGAAATGTGCTAAAAAAGACAAGCTAAACTTACCACGCCGATCCGTCCGTCCTCGCTACCTCCAGCCGTCGAACCTTTAAAGAACCCAAAACGTATATCCTTCCGCGAGGAGCAAAGCCCCGGTCCCCCACTGCGAGGTTTCCACAACCTTTTATCGGCTTGACCGCTAGTACTAACCGCTCAGATAATAATAGTTGGTTAATGGACAACAATTGTCAAAGTAGATCGTTAAACAGTGTCTAAAGTAATTCTCGGCCTTTGGCTAGAACACCAGAGTACGTAAAAACGAGCAAATCTTTCTAGATTTTTTCATATCGAGACGCCATTTGTAGTTAGCTTCCAGCTAACATCAAATGTATGGCATTCAAAGTGATAGGCGTCAGACTACGCTAAAATCAACGCCAATGTTTCGAAAAGCTCATTTTTACTCCGATTTCCCCAATAAATGAGTTCTGAAACAGTTTATGTTAACGTATTACTGCGACAGGCGCATTATAAATGCAAACAAATGAAGATCTGCCCCCTTTTGACAAGAAGGCCGCAGGGCAATTAAAAATGATAATTCACGAACCCCCCGTTTCTACTGTTCAGTTCAAACACAAACGACGCCTCGCGAAAGTTTTCTCAACGTTTTAACTTTTCCACTTTTTCTAATGTTACAACCGCAAACCACACTGTATTCATTTTAGATTAATTTTATGTCGAGAAAACGGAAAGTAGAGCCTAACTGTGACGTAGAAGGAAGATGATACACGGTATTAGAGTATGTGGTATTTATTTGTATTCAGATTCTCTTATGGTATTTTCTGTAAGATTTATACACCTAAAAAACTGAAATTTGCCCATTTTATTCTTTCTAAAGCAGCTCAAACTAAATGGATAAAAGAAATACTCGTGTCTGGTTTAGCTTAGATTTTGTGTGGATCGTGAATAGGCTTCAACCATAATATTGTTACTCTGACTGTATTATTCTGCAGGGTTACTGTCCTGCTGGAAAGGAGATCTACTTTCCCAAATCTCTATATTCCCATCAACATTTACCAGTTTCTTATTCTTTCGGTATCATGGCGGCTGGCAGCCGTTTTATATGGAGAATTACCGCCACCCACTGGAGTGGAATCACCAGTGTACGAACAAAAAAAATGATTCAAATTATTTTAAATCAAAATTTTGCTTTTCAGTAAACCATATAAATATTCAAATTATTTATTATAATTAGTTCCAAAAAGCTAGAGTAAAAACTAAAGATAAAGCAATTTTCAACTTATTTGGATAGGACCAAATGAAAATATTACATTGAAATGACAATGAAATTAACTTTCATTGTAAGACATGCAATATTTTTCTTTACACAATTAACATCATTACTACAATAAAGTAAGATAGGAGCTTATTTAAAGTGAATAATTCCTTAGACGAAAGTAACAGTTCCACTGGTAAATTATTTCACTTAAAACCTTATAAATTTCACTTATAACATTGTTATAAGTGAAATAATTCACCTGTGAAACTAGAACTTTTCATCAATGATAATGATTTTTTTATTTGAAACAAGCTCATATATGTTGCTTAAAAGTAACTTATAAATTGGTCTTATTTCAAGTGTGCTGACGTATTTGAACAAGAAACTAGACAAAAAAAAAGCTTGGTAAATTTGTTTTTTTGCAGTGAAGTTCAAAACATCCCTTCATATCCCCTACTTCAGCATCTTTCTACCAGTACAACCAGACAGAGATTTAAAGTAGCATAAGCAAATGTGGTGGACTAGCAGTGTGTTCTAAAAACTAAACACGTTATTTGTTCATGGTTGTTAGCAGGTCATGATAGTTTTCTGTCAAAGGCTTCTTCAAATCTGCTACTTGAGATCCTTTCTTCCCCAGTCTTTCAAATTGGGAGCCGTGGCCCTCTGGAGGGCCACCAGGGGGCGGTAGAGAAGCCTCAGAAAGTTAGAGGATTAAAAAGAAAAATGAAATCTAATAGGTCTTTCAATTATAATTTTTAGGTCTAATCTGTTTTTCAGTTACACATGGTTCCCACAAGTTTGAACCAGAAATGATTTGTGCCATTCAACCGCCATCTTGGTAGGCAAAGGATAGATCGTCCACAACTTAAAGAACATCAAAAAGAAAGTACATTAGGAAAAAAAGTTTAGGACTAAATAGTTGTAATGTACTGATATTATTTATAAGTTAGATACGAACAAAGCAAGAGCTAATTCTGAGCTTGTTTATTGTCATAGCAACTCCATAGCAACTGCCTATCATGATGGCTGACAGTTACAAAGTAGTCTTCTTATAAAATAAGTTAAAACAACTTGTTGAAACATAATTTGAAAACTTTAGGAACTCCTGCCAACTAAAGCCAGAAGAAATGAAACAAAATTTAAGCTGAACATAATTATTGAATAGTGAGTAAAAGTGGGTGGAAAAGCAAAAACACTTAAAGAAAAAGAACTGACACCTGTTTGTGTTCTGTGCAGCAATGCTGCTTTTTATTATATAAAACATTATAAAAGCAGCTACAAGTAGTACAAGTGTTTCTCTCTAAACTGTTGCAAAACAATATAAAAATAACTCGATCTCTGTATCCGAGATGATTTTAAAGGCGAGGTTAATATGAAAAAATATACTGTTAAAACAAAAAATACAGCAACTACTCTGCAGATATGGTCTAGTTTACATGCCTAAAAACACTCTCATACATGACATAAAACTCCTAAAAAATCTGCTAAAATGTTCAGAAACATTAAGCTGGATAATATTCTAAAAGCAAAGCAAACTAATAATACTTGTTAGTTTAAAGCAGAAGATGAGAGGTTTTAATAAAAAAAAAAAAAAACCAAAAATATAAACTAAGCATGAAAAAACTAAGGTAAAAAAGTGTTCTTATGAAGGCTTGAGTGTCTAACAGGAATCCTTCCTGCTGAACAAAGTCTTGTAAACCTTTTTCTGCGGATACAGTACGTAAAAGAAACCGTGCACCATGAGCAGATCGTAGATTTCAACACGGATCTGGTGACAGATTTTACATTTCAGGTCACTTCAAACACAACCTGGCAGGAAAATACGTAGAGCTCAGAGGTTTCTGGCGGATACAGTACAAAATGTTCAGAAATGTGCAGATTTCCCCGAAAAGGCCGAACAAGTTTCACAACATTTAGCCAACAGCAGTCAGTAGCAGAACACGAAGTAAGCTTTTTGGTTTAAAACTGTTTCACATTTTCTTTTTGCTGATTTAACAGATCAAATCCAACAGAATCAGACGCTGAAAACTTTCTAAATAATCTGAAGATTTGCTTCCAAATCCAAACATCTAACAAGAGCACAACATTTTGGAAACTTTTAGGAAAGATTTGAACATGGGAATGAGATTCAAATGGACCAAATTTATTTCCCCCATTTTTACCTATTTTGAGCAATAAATTAAAGTTTATCCACTTATTTATTGTTATTTACATCAGAGTGAACTTTGTTACAAAACCACAAAATCTTAAAGTATTTTCAGTGTAATTTATATTGCAAATATCTTAGTATACTTGGAAAAAGACAAAAATAACTTATAAGTAACTTTCATAGAATCATAAAAGAGATTGTTTTGGTCAATATTTCTGTAGTGATAAAGTGTGAGGGAAACGTATTCAGAGCACTTAGCTTAGAGTGAGAACTTTTTCATCAATGTTAAGGAATTACTGATTTGAAAGCTCTTGAAAACTTACTTATAAGTTTGTTTTTTTTTTACTGTAAAAAGATTTTTCGCAATAGAAACTAGATGAAAATACTTGGTCAGATTTTGTGTTTTTCCAGCAAAGTTGAGCAAAACAACTCTGTTCACTCCGGTTGGACAAATAAACTTCAGTTTATTGGTCAAAATAAATAAAAATGAGGAAAATAAAGGAGGTTTTTTTTTATAAGTGTCGGTTTGTTTTTACCAATTATAATGAGAACGAAGTGGATTTGTTTAGAGTTTTATCGTTTCTTAGGGACTTTAATAAACTCCGGTTCTGATTCTGGATGAATCGATGGGCTTTTTCTCTTTTTAATTGTCCAATAAGAGCCGCCCTGGTTTTTCTGCAGCCCTGGTTTAAATCAAAGTAACTCTCTCCATGCGAAAGTGGCTGAGACGTCTTCAGGTCCCTGTGGTTTCTGCTTATTCGCAGGCGTAGTAATCTTTGAGCGGCGCGAACAGATGCCTGATGACCGGCACGCTCCAGGACCGGCCCAGCAGCCGCTGCCTGGCGCCGCGGCCCATGTTCGACACGTCGGTGTAGTGAACCGGGAATCCAAAGATACTGACAAAACAGTTAGAAAAAGCATTAAGAGTCTATACGGCAGGCTGTTTTAGCATTAAATCACATGACATATTTATGGAAGTACTTCCTCTCAAAGCTCAAGAAAACGTAAATTTCTCATGAACAATGGAACTGGGAAACATTTCAAATATCCAAAATAAAACAAAACAGTAATAAATAGTTTGCACTGTTTTCCCTGTCTGAGCTGAATGATTATTATATTTGAAAGTGTAATTTTAATTACCAAGACTTCATATATATTTTAATTATTGTTGTTTTGTTTTGGATATTTAAAATGTTTTCCAGCTCCGGTGGTAAATGTTTATTAGAAATTCAAGTTTTTTAAGCTTGGAGAGGATGCACTTACATGTCATTATTACTGTTATATTAGTAGAAAATGGAGTCAAAATGACAATATTATCATTTAATGCAAAAATTTCAGGGAGAACTTTTTGTCTACTACATTTATTTCTAGTCATAAACCTGTTATGAGGAATGTGAGTGTTGGAAGTGATTTTATGCTAAACGGCCTGCCGTAGAGGCATTCCTGCTCACCGCTCCAGCTCCGTGCACCACAACACGTCCTCCTTCCCGTTCATCAGCACCGGGAAATGCTGGTCCTTCCCCTGTTTGATGGAGTTGGAGCGAGTGGTGATGGTTCGCACCTTCCCGAACTGACAGAAAACACGAGCCGTCAAACTCCCAGCGGAAAACTCTGCAGGTAAAAACCCGACTAACGTGTTTATGTCTGACCTTTGCGACCCGTCCGTGGTCCAGACACTCCTGCAGCTCCAGCTTGTCCATCCCAGAGGCGCAGAGCGGCCTGAAACACGCAGTTCCACTACAATCAACGTAAACGCAAGTCTGAGGAGAAACGAGGCGTTTCCCTGCGTACCTGTTCATCCCTGGCAGGTTCCCCCAGAAGTAGCGTGCGCGGTGGGCGGCGGAGACCTCTATGGCGTCAATCATCACAGGGTTGCACTGCGAAACACACACAAAGGTCAGAGGTCAGCTGGAATATGTCTGTCACATGAAGAGAAGGAAAGTGGCATCAGAAATGTATAAATCTTGACTTGGAAACTCATTCAGCCCAGTTTAAAATAACAACCAGGAAGCTAACTCATGCTAGCTCACGTTAGCTAGCACTAGCTAGCTCAGGTTTCTAACAAAACCAAAACGTCTTCATTCTGAATGCAACAATAAATGGTCATTTTAGAAGTTCTTATGTAAAATCTGTTTTTAAAATCCACAACAGAATTTTAAAACTAGCTAACTTCAAGCTATGCTAACTGTTTATCTTAATTCTTTCCATTTTTATAGAAAAACCTAATTCTACTTTTCCCTCTTGCAATAAATTCATTTTGCTTTAAATTCTGAAAATTGAATAAATTTTAGTAATTTGTTAGCTCTCATAATAAAACATTTTGTGTATTAAGAAAATAGTTTTTTGCATCTCCAAGTGAATTTTATTTTGTAGCATCGGAGGCAAAAGTGTCTTTTTGAATGGGAAAGGTTGCTAACCCATCTGATGCGAGATGTGTTAATATTGAGGGATTTTTATGGATTATTTATTCTCATAATTTTCTAATACATCAAATTTTTTATAGTTTTTTGGACACACAAAGATGCCTGACAAGAGAAGAAAAAAAATAAGTAAATGGATCAATAATTATAATTTATGACTTCATTTTTGCAGTTTTATAATTTTAGTTTTTCTTAGTATCACCAATACTCCATCGTACTAAATAAAAATATAAAAAATGTTCATATTTATATTTATCAAAGAATTTCTCAACAAAAATGTTTGTTTTTTAATTTATATATAGTTTTTGATTAATTGCGATAAATTAATAATTACAGAACTCTAACTCCTGATTTGAAAGTGTGGTGGCCCAGAGCGTGCGGATGCGTTCGGCTGACCTCCAGGAAGCGGGAGATGTCCCTCTTGTCGTTGACGCCCATGGCCACCACGTTCTCGAACAGCCAGAAGAACGGACGGTCTTCTCCTTCTTTGGGCTTGGCCTCACTCAGCAGGCGGTAGAACTCAAAAAACAGCCTTCCTGTTCCTCCTGCAGCAAAACAGACTCACATCAGGGTCTAGTGTTTTCAGGATTAAGAAGAAGCATTAAAAACAGAAGTTCCTCTGTGTGTAATTGATAATGTGTTTTTTATAGAGATTTTGTTAAAAGTACTAGAAAAAGATACTTTTCACACACTACTAAATGTTACAAACAGGAATCAACACATGCACCAACCAAACAGGCCTTTTCTGGCCGGATTCACGATGGAGAGGTCGTTGCAGGGACTTCCTCCGATCACCAAGTCAAACGGCCCCCACTCCTGAATCTGAGGCGACAGCACCACCTGGTGTTAGACTTCGGGCATTACACCGGAAGCAACGTTGGCACACCAGCCGTTTGTTAACAGTACAAAGGCAAGTTAACTCCACAATGTTTACAAGACAAACATTGTGGTTAATCTGTCACAGTCGTTAATTGATTGCTTTAATTTAAATGGGACACTGTATATTAATCTCCAAATAATTTTGGATTTCAAAATGCTCATTTCAATCCATAGCTCCATCAAACAAACGACACAAGATGCATTTATGCAATTTCATACATAAACCCAAGAAATACAGTAAAACAACAACCATATACATGGTTTGGAAAAACTATTTTAAGAGGTTTATGTCAAAATAGTACTTCATAAAACTGCCACAAACTACAACAGTAATATTTTTACCACTGATTTCTAATTGTCAGTTTCAAACTAAACATTAAATTAGCAAACAAAATACTTTGCTCTGAGGAATCTAGTAACAGTTTGGCTTAATTATTGTTCTGAAAGTGTTGTTTTATTCTTCAAATGGCATAATTCTGAGCCTGTACACTCCAATAAACAATTAATCAATATCTAAAGTAGTTTATGATTATTTCAGCAATCGATTAATAACAATTAATTGTTCCAGCCGGTCAGGATGTTTCCTTCAAGCTGAGTTCAAACGTTTCTGCTCGTGTCTTGGAGAAAGAAAAGAAGGAGATCTGTCCAAGGACTCGTTAAATATGGCCCCTCTGGTGCAACCCGACTCTGAACCGCCTTTTCTTACGTTTTTCCTGGTGATGTTCCTGACATCATGGACGTAGTGGATCTTTCCTTCATGTCTGACCACACCCACCGAGATCGAGTCCTCACACACCTCCGACGCCACATACTGGTCCACTTTAAAGCCCAGGTCCCTCAGAACCAGGTAGCCTGGAGCCGGAAACACAAACGAAACATCAACAGAAACATCAAATTGGAAATAAATCAGAAAAAAGTTTTTTAGGACGCAAGTTCCTCAGTTTCCCCCCCAACAAGGAGAGATTTTATACCAGAATAATTGCAAAAAGTCCCTGGAAGTGTAAATCTTGGGGTAAAAAGAGGCTTTATGGTTCCTCACCAGTAGCAATGCCGTCAAACAGGGAGAGGACTCTGATTGGTCTTCGCTGCTCAGCAGGGACTGCTGGGTAAATCTTTGGCTTCTCCTGCAGAAGGAGGAAAAAAAACACTGAAGGTCAGTTAATCGATGAATGAAGGGATGGATAATTGGGCTGTTGGATGGCTGGTTGGATAACTTCACGTTTCAGAACTTTGCCTTCTTTTAAACCTTGAAGGTAAACATAACATTCTGACCAAAACAAAGATGGTGTCGCCCATCCGGAGGATAAACTGAGCGGTTAGACTCACAAACTCCTGTCCTTTATCATTGGCGAAGAACTCCTGCAGCTTCAGGCTCCAGTCGTGGCGCCGTTTCAGGACGCCGTACTGGAGCAGCGGCTGGCACATGTAGCACCGCCAGGGGTCCTGGTACCGGGCGTTGTTGGACGCCCCAGGGTCCACCAGGATGTCCAGGCAGTCCACGCAGAAACACCTGGTGGGACAACACAATGAGGCACTAGCATTACCTCACACCTGACTTGGTATGACTGTGGTAGAGAGAGCTACAAACATTTAGCTAGTGGGCGCTAACTGTAAACTAGTGAAACAATAGTTCTGCTAACGCTAACGAGCTGTACCGGCAGTATTTAGAGGAAGCTAATGCTAAAGTGCTAACTCCAACCATTTGTCAATAACACAACATACTACAACACAACAAATAAACGTCAACAGGGTTAATAAACAACTACTGGTATAGAAGTGAATCTCATGGTTTCTGCTTTATGGTTGCTGAGTTTTGCCAACTCTGTTGCTGATTTTGCCTAAATGACCACAGCAGCGGTTCTTTCCTCCAGAATCTCAGGGATCAAATAGACAGATTTTTTTCACATTTTTCTGTCTCATATTATGGTGACATTTTTTATAAATATGTAAGAATTTTTTTAAATAACGTTACAACCTGCAGCTTTAAACTCGGCTTTAAATAATTTTATAACCTGGGAAAGATCCGACCATTTTATAGGTCCTGACGGATAAAACGGCAGAATGAAATGACTCCATGTTTTTTGTGTAATTTTTGAGTTTTTCTGACTTTCTTGCAGCTGAACGATTTTCTGGAACGGACCTGCAGCAGTTGGCGTTTCCGCAGAGCAGAACTTCTCGGCCGCCGCAGCAGACTGTGCAGTAGGACTGGTAGCCATCGTCATCGTACATGTAGGACATCTCTAGGTACACATCCTAAACACACACACACACACACACACACACACACACACACACACACACACACACACACACACACACACACACACACACACACACACACACACACACACACACACACACACACACACACACACACACACACACACACACAGCAGTGTTTTATCACCGCTGTCATCCTCTGGGTCAGAGATCCGATCTGGAGCGGCTCACCTTACACGTTTGGCACAAGCCTCCTTCAAACAGTGGGTGGAAGGTTACTGCTCTCATCTTTCCACATGAGAGACAAAACTCTGACGAATCGGATAAACAAAGACGAGTCAAATCAAAACACAGCTAGGAATTTATGTGCTGCAGCGGCGTTAAATACCCGGACTGTACCTTCAATACTTCGGTTCTTTTTCTGTACTTCATTCACCATTTGTTCTGGCAGAAAGGAAGACGTTGAGACAACAGGAGTGACAGTATTTTGTATGGTAGTGCCAAATTTAAGATTACACGTGTAGCGGTGGCTACTTGCTATATGTAGCGGTGGCTACTTGCTATATGTAGCGGTGGCTACTTGCTATATGTAGCGGTGGCTACTTGCTATATGTAGCGGTGGCTACTTGCTATATGTAGCGGTGGCTACTTGCTATATGTAGCGGTGGCTACTTGCTATATGTAGCGGTGGCTACTTGCTATATGTAGCGGTGGCTACTTGCTATATGTAGCGGTGGCTACTTGCTATATGTAGCGGTGGCTACTTGCTATATACATTCTGAAGCTGACCATTGGTCTGATTAATGGCAGGTTAGCATGGTAACTTAGCAGCAGCTGCTGGAAAATCCAAGGAAAAGACTTATTTATGCCAACCTACAACAAGCTAGTGACTAGCATACCTGGGCTGGTCACCCATTGGATTGTCTTCTTCCTCTGTTGTCCATTAGCATGGATAGGTTAGCATTACCTTTGGTTAGGCTAACAAATTGCATGGCTTAGCTCATCACTCACTGGATTGCCTACTCCCAATCTACTTCCGCCTGGATGAGCTAACAGTAGCCTATCAAGGCTAATGGTAGCTTATCTTTGTTAATAAAAGCAGAGGATGAAGAAGGTAATCCAACAGGTGATCCAGAAAAGTTGCTGGCCTATCCAAGGTTCACACTAGACTTTCAAAGCTAAAGCTAGCCATTCTCTATTAATGGAAATCAGAAGAAGTAGACAATCCAGTGGGTAGCCAGCCTGGACATGCTAGTTGTTAGCCTCGACAAGGCTAATGGTGGCCAATTGAAGTCAAATGCTAATGTAGCCAATCTCTGCCAATGGACAATTGAGGAAATAGGCAATCTAGTGGGTGACTCCATTTATGCTAGTTGTTAGCCTGATATAGGCTAGCTCTTAGCCTATACATAGCTAATGCTACCTTATCTCTGCTAATGGACAGTAGATAATCCAGTGGCACTCCTGTGGAAAACTAACTGAGTTACCAATTTCTTCCCACCATTAATCAGATTAGCAGCTAGCTTCAGAATCAATGGCCTCCTGCAACAAGGAAGCAATAGTTTAATTTTGGCACTAATAGTGCGCCC